GCTCTGAGTTGTATTGAGGTCAGTGTCAACGAATTATTCATTCATATTTCAATAATAATAGAACATCAGTAAAAGAGCTTAGATAAATATACTACTATTATAATGCTCTCACATGGCCACCTGCATACAACCACTGCCAGGGAACTCATACTCTCTGCCTTCTCGCGGCATTATTGTTGTTTACGAAAATGAGAGGATGAAAAGCGAATGTCCGGGGCTTTAACTGGGTTAGTGGACAATTAGAGTTCACCTAGGGGGGTTGGAAACCCTGGTTCCAAACCATTGGTGCACATGGGCTCCGGTATCCTGAATCAACAAGTGGCGTATGAACCGGTCGCTGGTCACCGGCTACCATAGGATTACATTTCCTTACGGTGCTCCACTGCCCTGTGGATCAGACCTTCAGGTCGAAGGCTCAGGATGGGGCCCCCTAAGAAAACCACCTGCTTTGGTTTGGGCACCCGGGAAGTATCCAGGCCTTTACACAAATCGAATGATTCATGTAGCACGTATCTGTTTGGTGCTTCATTGTACCAATGTTTATGTGTTTAAATAAATAAGCAAATAAACTATAATGAGCTGTTTAATTACTTCAGATAAATGAACCAGAACATTTGTAAAGTAATTTGTCACTCAAAAAAGAAAACTAGTTTATCTGAAAATAAATCCTAAAGGGAATGATGATAGTACATAAAACTGTATAAGAACGAGTTACTGTTTAGCCATTGTACATAAACTAAACACTTAATCAACTTAACGAACAAAGGAATTCGTTGAGAGCTTCATTAGAATTTGTGCTGTTAAGAACTGAATAAAACTAGTCACAAATGATGTATATTTATAGTGACCAGATTGATTCAGTAATGTTTATCCAGCAATTTTGGTCAAATAACTATTTTGCTTGTTGTCTAGACTTATAAATTACTCATTAAGTGACCTTTGGAGATCGTCTCATTTGATGGTTTGGCTAGAGATATTGAAAAAATAATTGAGTTGACTGGTTTTTTTTTATTACTCGTTAACAATATCTTGGACACCATTGAAGATTATAAGAAACTGAATAAAAAATGTAATCCGTTGAATACAAACTCTATAATTTACATTATGACTTTCATGGTAAATTTGTGTTATAATGAGACAAGTCCTGAAAATTTGAAGCTTTCGTAAATGTTTTCTTGATTATTATTATATTTTTACTGCATGATTAATAGGCAACTATATTTTCATATATATCTATATTCTCCTTATTGTAAGCTTCCAGTAGATCTAATAACTGTCGTTAAACTTTCTACTATCCTTTATGGCTGCCGACTTCTCTTTGAACTCAAGGCATGGGATAGAGAAAAGCCTGAGGATAGCAGATCAATAAGAGCATAGCTTGTGTTGGCTCAAGATATCTATACAGATTAGAACGTATAACTGGTCAAGTCTAAGACTCTTAACTATAGAAAGAATAGTACACGTAATATAGAAAAAATTATAATCGGAATTCTGGTTAGTGAGTATGCCACTTGATATCGATTGATGTCTTTATTCATAACAATTGGATTAGAAAGCATGACATTGGTTAATGCTCAGTGACCAATTTGCGTAAATATTTCGGTTCAACAGCAAGCTAATTACAAGTGATTGATAAGGCCTTTGAATGTGAAATAAGTTCGAACCTCAGTGAAGGTATCAGTTACCTTAATACAATTAATGAGTGTCAATTAGCATGAAGCTGAATTCCATACCTCATTGCTAACTATTTCCAACCACCTGACATATTCTAAATAAAAATATCACTTTAGTATTAAGTACACAAACGGATATAGTTAACAATAAAATGAGTAGAAAAAAATCAACAGGCGGTATATACTATCGATTAAATACGCTTGGATATTGAAGATACGATTCATTGGATACTGAACATGGGGGGTGCAGTTAGAAATTTCAAGATTAATTCAAACTTCTAAAACAATAAGAAAGATAAATTTTACCGACAGATTAATTAAAGAAAAAGGTAACAATGATAACCATCATTCAGTACTTGAAAAATAACTTTAACGATTCATTGTACAAAAGTGATGTAGACATAAGAATTACAAAGGAAATCCATCTTAATTCCATTAATATGAATAAATGAAATGAATGACTTGGAAAATCTGAAAATATACCATACTATTGTGTCTATCTCTCTTGTCAATTTGGCTTGTTCACAAAAATATCTATTATCTATAAATATACAATATTCTCAATTGTCTTAATATCAGATAAGTGAAATAGATTAATAGAAATTTGTATATAACCGCCGTTTTAATTTCACCGGTACCTATTTGAAAACACATGTTTTCAATATCGAAAAGACTGATACTGTAACATAAACTGAAAATCATAGCAACACTTTATAGAGTAAATGATCATTGGTTTGAGCGAATATGTAAGTGCAAACTATCTAATTGGGGCAATGTGCTATTACTGTGACTAATGGTTGAAAACTTTAAGTGACAGTGCTGAAAACAGATTAAGAATGATGCTGTGTATTCATTTTGATCTTCCGCTAAATCTTGAGTAGTGATACTCTTTTATACATAACCCTTAAAACCATTTTATCTATTTCAAATGGATTGAATTATCTCGCTGTTGATATTTTGACTGAATTTCAAACAGTCTCAGTTTGCACATATGTATCATATATAGGTTATTTCGATAAAGAGAATAATGAGACATGTTACTATAGAATCGATGGAATGTGGCTAGTAGTAGGAACCAGGACGAGTTTCGTCCTATATGATGATTCTACTGCTAGCCACATTCCATTTCCTCAACACGAAATTATCCTGACTACTACTGATACAATCACTATTTCAACTCCTGTGTTATTTATCTTGTTCATTTTATCTAGTCGTGAAGATTTTGTCTGAAAACTTGAGCTTACTCATAGTTGTGACAGATTCTACGTTAATTATGGCTGAACAACACTCCGATCAAAATTATTCTGGACGTGTATAACTGGAGTTAATAATGAATGTCAAGCCTTAAACGATATTAGTGTATTTCGCACCAGGTAACTGGAACCAGCTTGTTTAATTTGTGATATAGTTTCGTACCATTCATATAAAATGAAGACTTGTTCAAAAACTTAATTTCTAATCAAGAGATTACATATGTTCATTATATTCTGTTTATTAAGGTTTGGGCAAGCAAATAGTATCGTAGAAAAAAAACATATCAATCCCAATATAATGCATTAACATTCATGTTTAATGAAACACAAGTTACGTTATATTGAATGATTACAACAGTAACTAAACCGTTTAAATAGTCACTTTACAACGAACAGCATTAGGTTTTCCGTTCAAAACTCCATTTACTTCTGTATTAATAATGAAAAGAATCATCAGTCTTACAAAAATATAGTTGGTAGATAAATTGAGTTCCAATGAGGTTTATATTATTTTACGGATTAAATGGTCTTTCCGGGAAAAGTTCTCTGAATTTTATTATCAAACTCATTTTTCAGGAAAACTATTACAAATATTATTGTTGAATTGTGAAAAGTACCGTAAGGATGAAGTACATGTTCCATTTTTTACAATGTTTATTAGTGTGAGATGTAAACTACAAAAGTAAACAATCTTCACAAGGCTCATGTATAAAGTTATATAAACGCGAAATTCCTTTAAGATCCTATTATTTTAGATATTTGAACTATCTAATTGGTGGAGAAAAACCACAAGACGTTTACTTAACAATATATCCAGTTAGAAGGTAGTCAGAAACAGCATATGCAAAAGTGTTAACGATTACCTCCTTCCAGTTTAAGTAGAACAAACAACTCACTTGATGCGCAGAAAATCGCCACATATCTCTTTAAGCTCTAGATTGAGCCTTTGACTGAACTAAAACGTTATAATCACAGCTTCCTTAAAAAAGGGGAGAAAATTACTCGACTGTTCCACTGCAATCAACTTTCAGGATTAAATTACTCAATGATTAGTAGTCAGTGTAGGAATAAGCGAATATTTAGTCATATTTTCATATAAACAGATGTATTTATTTGCAATTTTCTTAATATATTTATGGGGTTTGTGATGATTCACGTAATGTTTACAACATCAACAAGAATATCATCAGAAAGAGTGAATTCATAACCTGTGAAGTCGACGGTGTTAAAAGTGAAACAGTGGTTTAATGGTAAAGCAGGATTAGCAGTTCAATATCACAAACTGACCGATGTTTAAATTACGCATAAATGCGGGTAAACTCATTGATTTAATCTCGATGAGCTTACCACGAGAACCAGATGATTTCGGTAATGGATGTCGTATGAATTAGTAGGTGCGCATTGCTGAAGATATCCAATCTAGGACGAAACAGTAGTTCAATGCTTTCTAGTTCGCTAATGAAAGGAAGTACTGTAATTATACGTATGATAAGTGCACCAAGTTATAGTAAGTTATGTTTGTATATTTATTAGTACAGACATGTACAGAACATTCCACTACCAAATATTTGGTTACAGGATTTACCTATTCAAACTACTTTCGTTTTGTAAGTTGGGGAATATTGCTAATCATCACACTGAAAATATGAATAGATATTTTGGTTAACGAGATGAGTTCGTTAATTACATTATGAAAAATATGACTAATTTTCGATTTGTCTGACTCTTAAAGGATTAAAAAAGAAATATGAACTGAAAAATCGTCTCCTTCAAAAGAAGAAAGATTGATTGTCACCAATCGCATATGATGAGTTAAGGGATTTTAAAACTATTTACATTCTATACATCGATTGTAACACATCAATTGACAAGCTTATGAATAGTCATATTCTTGGATGCCTTCGTCTGACATCGATTTTTCCTGTAATGAATTTAAAAACCAATAAACATTTAAAACTAGTATACTTTTCAATATTCACAGAATACTTTTCTTCTTTGGAAATATTCCTAGATTTCATGCCTTTAACTAACTGGGGGGGATAAAAAAAAAGACGCAATTCAACACAAATTAAGTAGCATGGTAAAGATGAAAATTTTTTTTAAAAAATACTAATGATGAAAAGGTTACATATAATACTTATATATTTTCAATAGTCTGATAAAAAATATGATGTAGAAAAAACAAAAATCAAACTTCATTCTTTTATCTCCTTCCAATTTTAAACCTCATCATTATGACTATCTCATCTAAGTAAGTGTAAATAATAAAAACAAAAAGTGATGAAAATTAATTCCGTCCATAAAGAAAGTATTATCGAAGAAAAATGCGCATAAAACCAAAACATACATACATTTTATAATTTTAAGAAAGTGAATTATTTTTTCGAACTATAACAATACAATGAATGTCAATCATCGGTAATAACAAACGGGTACACAAATCAATGTATGTTAACCCTAAAGTCAATTAAATCTAACAAGTTTCTAATGGAGAATAAATCCATAAACTGAACAATATCGATAGTGAATGAAAAACAAATGCAAATAATAAAAACGTTAAAATAAGTCAAATCAATGTACTATATTGAGAAGGTTCCAATGAAAACACTCATACTATCTCCTATATAAGTGACCGGGTAAAATGAAGTAAAAACAAAAAGAGGGAGAAATAACCCTAAATAAATAGATGGCGCTTCTTTAACCTACCATAACACATAAATGTATATTTGAGATATCAAAAAGAAGAAAAAAAAGGTTCTTGTCCAAAAAATCATTAGTAGGTTGTGTGCTTCATAAAAGTTGATTATTTGGCGCTTTCCTTTTGAATGAAATTTAAAAAAAAACATGAAATAATTCAATTGAAACATTCAAAAAAAATTGTTGAAGGAATTATTTACTACTCGTTAATATACACATTATGTTAATGAATTGCATGAGAACAAGAAAGTGGTCATGTGAAAATAATAATATTATCATTGATTTGATTGTTGAAAGTACACACACACACACACAATGATACGATTACTTGGCGCCAAAAACTGAGCGAACGAAAGATAAAACATGGTTTGATTTCTTTGCATTCTAACTAGAATACCGCATTTGTTGTTGATTGTTTTACGAGAGAACACTGCATATAAACATATTAATGATGGAATAGGAAGAAATTGATATTTGAAAAAGAAAGAAAGAAAGAAAGAAAATAAGGAAACGTAGGAAATAAGCAGAAAAAAATATAACCTTAGAATAAATTTTTAATGAAAGAATACACATGTGCTATTTTAATGTATACTTCATAAGAGTATCAATAGGTCAGTACGCTTTAAAAACATATGAGAAAACAAAATTTAAAAATGCTTCATTGATGATGATGACGATGATACTGATGCTGTCGGTGCTGTTGACGAAGTTAAAGCAGACAACATATTCATACAATTATTATTACTATTATTGAAAGGAAAATTTTGCAAAAACTCCATGAAATAAGCGGTTGGATTAGTACTACTGATATTAGTAGTAGCAACGTTGTTATTCTGACTACCAGATATTATTTGTCTTAATGAATCCGTATTATTAGTATTAATGTTACTGTTACGCATTAATGTTTGCAAAAACATTGACCAGTTATTAGCAAATACATTAGGGTCAATTAGGCTATCAACTTTTAATTCAGTAGGAAGAGATGTTGTACTTGGTTGATGTTCTTGCCGTACTTGTTGTTGCTGAGTGATTTGATGGTGGTGTATATGAGATGAATTCGGCAACGTTGATGCGGATGGTTGGATTAATGATGTAGGTGATGACGACGATGTTTGAAATATGGGCACTGGTGTTACAGTCTGATTTATTGGGAGAAATGATTTTCTGAATAATTCTGTTTGAGATTGATCATTGTTGGTAGTATTAATATTGTCACTAGTGCTACTAGAATTATTTGTAGCCATGGCACTGAACAACGATGATAAAACATTTGGCGGTGGTATACATCCCGGTGGGAATAATGATAAGAATGAAGGAAGTAAATCAGATTTAGCAAATGCACTCGGAATGACTGAGGACTGTAGAGTACTCCCAACACTACCACTGTTATTACCAGATATCAATCTATTATCTACCATTGATGTATTCCAATTACAATGAATGCTAGAAGTAGTAGGAGTACCCATAAGTTTTGAAATATTCGATGTATCTGAAGTGTTGCTATTGTCGACACTATTATTGCCAATATTGTTATTAGTATCGTTTATTAAAGACACCGGGTTTGTTACAGATGCTGTATGTGAATGCGGGAGAGATATTGATGGTAAGCCGCCGTTTGATGATGGTGGTGGTGATGATGACAATGATGATGATGAACTGACATCAACCAAGCATATACGTAAATGTCTTTCTGGCCAACGAAAAACTAACGGCAAATGCAATTCATTAGGATATAATAAACATGAAAATTGAAATTCCAACTGTTCCAGAAAATCGTCTGTCAATAAGATCTAGATAAATTTCAACAAAAAAAATAACAAATAAACAATAAAAATACAATTTGATATCAGTATTATTAAAAACCAAAATAACATAACACTGATAAAAGAGGAAATTAAAAAGAAAATAAGAGTGATCAAGGTGACTCGTCATATTCCAGTATAAAGTTTCTCAGAAGCAAAAAACCCAGTTATTTTCCAGATCAAATAAATGCAGTTTGTTTATGGATTAAAATAACTCGTCTATTTAATAAATTATTAAAACTGATAGAACACAAGTCGAATATGTATAACTTGATAATTGGAAGTTAATTGTCTTGTAAAATCTAGTTATCATTCAACGATTGTTTGAAGCTGATTATTACGTGTGATGATACAGGATATCTTTTGCTGAGAACCTCTTACACCAGAACAAAATATAGAATTCATGAATGCCTGGTTCTCAATGAATTACATGAAAGGGAAGATGACTAGACCATCCAACACTTAAAAAGTGGCAACTCCAGTAAAAGAGGGGGATTTGAAGAAATGATTACAGATTAGTAAGTTATAACCAACTACGGGATTATAACTTTTTGTAAGTTAATACACTTCATTTATTGCATTGATTCTTAAGAATAACTACTTATTTTAAAAACAATTCATTCAAAATTTCTCTTACTTGTAACCATGGTCCACGGGCAACATAGGGTGTTTCTTCTGTAACAAAAGCTCCAGAAACACCAGATGGCACTAACGTAATAGCATGATCTGGATAATTTGCATTTAAAAATGTAAAATGTCTTCCATGACGTAGTCGATCATTCACTGCTAAAGGAAGCATTTCACCAGCTTCACGACATAAATGCACATCTAAATAATCGATAATCCGTGTTGGCATCATATCCAAACTTGCCGGAGAAAGTGATAAATGTGCTAAAGGTGTACATGGTGCAGAACCATCACCAGTAGTACTACTACTACCACCACCAGGTGTAAGATTCCCACCTTTAGGCTCAATACTGGTATCTATAAATTTATCTGTAATCATATTAGATATTGGTAGTTCTGAGTTGAATGTTCGAAAACCAAGCGCGCCGCCAACTACATTAGTCAGTTCTGTAGGTGAATTGATCAAAGTACTTTTGAATATTCCACCACCTGTAGATGAAGTATTAGCGCCGACTTTGTTTATGCTTTGACGACCTACGTAAAGTTGAAAAAATGAATGAATTAAAACTAAGAGTGAATAAATAAGACAAAAACTCTGCATAAATCTTGAGTTTCCTGTTTGTATTTCTGCACTTCACATTTTTCTATAGAAAACTTAGTTAAATAATATGTGATTATGGAAAATGTTTAAGCAAGTCCTAATATAGACGCAGGTAGTTGATATCTGCTGATACATAATCAAAGAAGACAACTATGAATTACTTTTCGGCTATATATATATATATATATATATATATATATATATATATATATATATATATATATATATATAGCTATGATAATATACCTAGGTAGATAATATTAAAAATATCCAGGTTATGCATCTAACTAAAAACAAAAAGTTCATATAAAGTACACTAATGTGAACAACTCTTTGAAACGTGAATATGTAAAACATGTCTACAATGAACAGTGTACTAATAACTGATTCTGGATATTGTTGACTAATTACATGTAACACCTAATGATTTTAATTGAAATCATGAACGGATCAATGTCAGACCACTACTGAAAATCTGGAAACACTGAACGTCCGTTTCATCCAAGTGGGAGACTCCTTAACAATGCGCACCGACAATCGCACACGCAAGCCTTGAACCCATAATCTTCAGTCTCATAGGAACGTCTAGCCTTTAGACAACCGAGCCAGCATCCAGTGGTGTTGGTTGATGTTAGACATTAAAACCGTTGGATTTCGACTGTGGTATAGAAGTTAAGCGTTCGTGAGAGACAGAAGGTCCTGTTTCCGGCTGATACCTAATGATTTATTTATTTATTATTCAATGAGAATAAATCAATGAAATTTATTTACCAACCATTAATTCATTTATGCATATGGTCTTAAGCCAAACTTTTGTCTAAGAAATAGCGATACTGTTAAGTAAACTAAATCGAAAAAGATGGAGTGAGGTTTGAGACTGTAATCAAGTAATGAACCCTAATTGACTGTTAAACTAAGCCGTGTTGATGGGTGTAACGCAATGGATTACGGTCCGCGCGATTATCGTGATGGTTATACAGAAGTACAGCTTAAGTAAATGGTTTCGTCGAAAAGAAAATTCTCTTTGTGGAATTCTCTTTTTCTTATAGAAATGGTTAAGAACTAAACGCAAAGGTTCAGGTGCATTGTTCCCGTTAGAGTTCCAATTTTAAAATAATCTTATACCTTTTTGCTCCGCAAATTTTTTTTCTTTTCAAATTACATTGCCTAATAACAAAGCTTTCAACAACAACTGAAACTGATATCATTCCAACCATTATAGAATTCATCTTAACGCCATCTGGAACCCTTTAGGATTACTGCCGTTTCAGAGCAAAACCCCTATGGATGATACTCCATCGTCAATAGGAATTAATACGATTATCAGACAAATCAAGAATGACAAAGAAGCAGGACAAGATAGAACACTAGCTGAACCACCGAAGTAATATATGGAGGTAACTGTAAAAGTGACTCTTTTTCTATTTAAAAAGGTTTGGGACGAAAAGACAAAAGAGAATGGAATGAGATACTTCACCAAGATATCAGAAAAAATCTTATTAAATGTGAGGAATACAAAGGCATTACGTTGCTATTGGTACTACGCGAAGCTTTCAACAGTGTTAATCAACCAAACGAAAAATTCAGTAGACGTTCAACTTCGATATTAACAAGCTAGACTTCATAACGACTGATCGTACACCGACCAAAATGATTGTTGAACAATCAACTGAATGGAACTGGCTATGTTCCTACCTCTCTGGAAGGGAACAGTACATTGTATTTAGAGGAATGTGTTCAGAGTCTCTACTGTCTCATGAAGGTGTACCACAAGGAGCTGTTCTTTCACCTTTTCTTTTCTATTTCTTTCTGCATGATCTGTCATCTTCCACAGAAAACACTTGTGAAATATGCGGATGATCTCACTGTATGTATGCCCGTCTCTTCCTCTTTACATCCCATCGAAATGAATGAGTTTTTGTCTCGTATTAATTGTTGGTCTGTTGGTAATGGTCTCATACTTAATCCGTCTAAATGTCAAGCTGTTAACTTTAGTATGAGACATGAACGGAATATAAACACCATTTTGAGATCCCATGATGCTTGTACCATCGGAGACTCTTTGATAAACTCAGTGTCGAAGATCAATTATCTTGGTGTCACCTTTTCCTCTGATCTCTCTTGGTCTTCCCACGTTTTATCGTTATCAAAGAAGGTTTTCCGTCTGACCTATTACATAAAGAGATTGCATGCTCTTGGAATTACTCGTCATTTACTCTTACAATTTGTCAATTCTTGCATATTACCTATTATTCTTTACTGTTCTCCATTATTCTTTCCCGGGCTTTTGAGAAAAGACTTTGCTGTATTGCGAAGAGTGCTGAAGGCAGTTAGCGAGACGTGTGGTGAATCTTTCGAGGTCATAATTAATATGGTTGTGGATAGACATCTAAAGTCATGAAAACTCCTGGCAGGTGTTATTTTATCAGATACTAACCATCCCCTTCACTCTTATCTTTCTCCTGGTATATCTTCTGGCAGAACGAGACGTAATTACATTAAAATCCTTGCACGCAAGCAAAAGTATAAAAGTTCTATAATACCTTACCTAGCAAATATACTCTGTGCCGAACAAGTTGTTAGAGTTAACCTAGTCAATAACCTGCATTCTTAAAATGTCTCTAATTTGAAAAGTTGTACAGTTTTTCGGTTTTGTTTTTAAAAAAACTTTTTTTATTTTATTTTTTTGTATTTGTTACTGTTTTTTTTGTTGTTGTGTAAGTAACTTGTCGAAATACCCTGTGCTGAGAATTCTATATTGTCCCAAAATATAATATTGATTAAAGCCATTAATAATAATAATAATAATAATAATAATAATAATAATAATAATAATAAATTCATAATAACTTATCAGAAAAGCTTTCTAAACGAAAGACAAAATGGAATTGAGTGGATTGACATACAATAATACTCAAGGTAAGTTAAACTTACTCATAGGTGATTGGTTAAACTGATTGATAGGTCCTACCCGATTACACCAGGCAGAAAAACCACCAGGTGCACTGATAGTTTGTCCATCGATTACATTTCGATTTCCTAATGAATGCGGAAAACAATCTGAAGTTAAATGTCCGGAGCTCAACCTATTGCTTAAAGAAACACGAGATTTTGGTTCAAAACGAGAAATTTTTAGTGAATTAGGTTCAGCAGACACTGAAGCCAAAGCACTAGTAGATGAATTGATGTAACTTTCTGCTGTCAACTTCTGCAATGTCTCGTCGCCACCCCCGTTACCACCACCGCCAACAACATCTATAAATTCATCATCTTCAATTCGTTTTTTTACTGCAAACGACACCAATGTATCATCTGTGTCCATGGCCACAGTTTTAGATCCAATATCAGTATCTGATTATGGGTATTATAATCAGTTGAAGGGTTATGAAACAATACAGCCTTAGATCCAGACTGAACTTCTGATTTAGAATACAGACAACTAGTTGAAGATGAATCACGTTTCTGTGTTTGACGACGTAATCGACGAGATTCCACTTCACCTGGTAGTAGCTCACCTAAAGTGACCATAGTTATAGGTGCCCAAGCAAAATAGGATATTGTGACACCAGATAAATTCGAACCTTCACGTTTTAATTTATCATTGATATAATCCACTAAATTTGGTTGCAATTCAAAAATATTTAAATTTCTTTTCATATCGGTGACAAGAAGACCACCTCCAGTTTCTAGTGAACAACTCATTAATTCGGCAACATGAGAACCAGTCCAACGTTGAACCAAACGCAGTTCCTCATCGCAAAGACCAACCAACTAAATAAAAAACATAAAACTTAAATTTAATCTTAAGAAGCATAACTGATAGTAGAAAGTAATTTATGAATAAGCAATCTAGATGATAGCTTGACAGGTTAATCGTTTGGATTACTATCAGAAAATGTCAAAAATACTGTGTTGAAATCAACAACTAGTTGACCATCTATTATTTTAAATAATGTGCATTTTAAAATAATCATATTGCATACTGTCCAAAGTGTTTTCTGAAAGATATTTACGAATTCAGAGAGCCTCCAATGAACTAATATGTCATTTTTGTTATTATACTGATGACTTTAAGACAAAACACAACACTAGAGGATTATAACTAATTAACGACCACTAAACCTATTAGATTTCAAGGGACCACCAAATGATCGTTATGGAGTTAGATGTAGGTAACGGAAGTCATTATTCACTAGTGTATACGTGAAAAATATGAACCAGTCATGACATGCTTTACGCAGTCATTTTATAAATATAGATAAGTAGGTAGGTAGATAGATATAGATAGATAAATATTAAGAAGACTATTAACAATAATTTTAATCAGATCATAGTGATAATATTAAAATACGTTTAGGTTTATGCAGTCAAGTGAGTAATAAATTACTGAAACCGGTAGAGTGGGATTCAAACCCGCAAGCAGATATTCGAAAACCGGGTTTTTACAATTAATTCACCGTTTTGCTTGGTAGAAGTTAAGCTATCCACTAACTGGATGTCAAATTATATGTAGCAAAAAATTTAGATTGTGTTACCATTCAAATTAATTGTTTTAGCGGAATAGATAGTGACATAATTTATTTATCATACTAACTTAGCTTATACCAAGTTTATACAGTAATATTTCATATAGACTTTTTAAACTGACAATTTCTATTATACGCTGCTGATCGAATAGTGAATATTTTCGGACTCCTAGACAAAGTCAAGTTAAAATTCTGTACTTTAACTGACAAAGGCCTATAATAGGCATTTGGTTGTTTTGACCAAACAAAATTCAATCCTCCTAGTTTATTTAGTTCTTACAGAAATCACAAAATGTCAGTCGTAAAGATCATTTCACTACCTAGATACTATGTTGAAATTCACTCAATCATTTTTCCAACTTCAGTTTATTTCCGAGATACAGTGTGACTGTCCATCTTGATAGAAGTTAATAATGAGGACAGATTCACTTTTCTCTCGTAGCCTGATTTATTTACTTGATATTGTATGACTGACTGAATGGTATAGCGCTTACCGTGTGACTAAATTTATTACTGTATAACGTGTGGATATGTACTGCTGAGTTTCAAAACCTGTTGATTCGTTTGTTGACATACATTTATGATTATAAAAAGACCACCTTTATTTATTATTCATCAGACCATTTTGAAAACGAACTGAAATCTGATCATTCAAGAGATAATGTTATCTTTGATGCGATGTTCATGACTTAAAATCTATACACATAAACAATCAACCATAAACCCATACATGGTATATTTTAATTTTGTTTTTTTCAGTCACTGTTTCTGTATATTGAATAACAATAATAATTCATAATATACCACACCTCGACTAACCTACCTACCTGACATAAAATGAAGGTGGGTATCAATTCTAAACGGTCACACAAAGACAATTACGTATACTGCTGTCGAAAGTTTAAAATTTATGAAACGAATACAATTTATTAAAAAGGACCAACAAATAAATTTGGTCTAGCATGTAAATATATTTATAGTAATTATCATAATCAGTTGCAGTTCACGTACACAGAAATTGTCTGTGGTTGTTCCGTAGAAGGGAATAATGAGAAAAACACGGATGACCTTGGACCCAGTCTCGTTTAATGAGAAATCAAATCAATACAGAGTGTCGCTGAATATGTGGAATTCTTTTTCAAGAAATACAGTCGACTATGATCTTTATATTTAAAAATGTTTGGGTATTCGGAAAATAAAAGTGAGTCCTACGGTTAATTTTGTAATGAATGGATAAAGGTAGTTATCAACTAGATACTTTTGTGCTTCTATATTATAATTTCATACTGTCTAATTGCATTTCATCACATTTATTGAGAATAACAACATTGAAGAGTAAGAATAAAGGTTAAAAATAGCTAAAAAGAAATTCGTTGAAAGACTAAACTTACCAAATTTCTACCAAATACAATAATGTGAAAATAAAGATTTTATTCGCAACATGATTAGTTAAATGGTAACGTCCTAAACCGTGAGACAAGGCGATGAGCGTTCGAATCCTATGAGCAGAATCGCCTCTCTCAAATACACCCTACCTTAAACCAGTAAAAATAGAATAATGATCAATTTAAAAGTGGTTAAACTCATGGTGTACAAAAAATGGGAAAGTATTTATACAAACATATGTTGTAGAAAACTAATTACTTTACACACTTTAACATTATTCGTTTTGTAAAATCCAATAATGCTACTTAAGACTATCTACTCCTTTAGTCGTTCGACAATTGTACTATTTTTAACCGAATTTTCACTTATTCTAGTATACCTTTGCGCTACTATTATTAGAAAGTAAAATTCATAAGAATTACAAAGAAAAGTAATAACCTGTAAGAATTGAACATAACCATATGGTGTAGTGATTTTCTTCAGTTGAGGATCTTCTACCAGTAGCATATGATGAATACGTGATGAATTTGTTGAATTAGTTGTTAGTTTATCCTTAGTTTCATTCTGGCCAACTGGATCATTCGAGTTGTTATTATTGACAGCGGCTAGAGCAGCCGCGACCATGGATGCATAAGTCGAAGGATTGGTTAATGCGGATAAAGCAGCCGATGAAGATCCCATACCTGTTTTAGCACTGTTTGCAGCTAATATGGAAGCTGCAGTTGCTGCAGCCGCCATTGCAATGGATTTTCTTGCATTTTCCAACTCTTTCACATTTGTTTCTTTATCCGTCTGTTGTTGCTGGTGGTGATGATGATGTTGATGATGCCGTCGTCGTTTTTCCGACTGTTGAGATGAAAAATTAGGCTGCTTATCTAAAGCCGTAGGCCATGGAATATGATCGCCTGCCATTAATTGAGCTTGTGAATAGAAAACATAACGTGCTAAGCTTTGTAGTAAATGCGCTGGCCATGTTGGTGGATTTGTTTCACCTGCTTCACGTTTCACTCGAAATGTTAACTCGAAACCGAAACCACTTGGACCATCAGTTGAATGACAGTGGCTACAATTCATATATATATATATATATATATATATATATATATATATATATATATATATATATATATATATATATAGTAGAAATTAACAAACAAAAATCTTTTATTATGAAAAAGTAAAATGGAATTTTTTTCACATTATGATGCTGAAAACACAAACTAGGAAAATTATGGTGGAAAGGAGAAATTACGACAGTCAGTCGGTTGGATGTAACGTAAAAACTGAAACATGTGCGTGAACTGGTTATTGGATAGCATGAATGTTTACACGTTGACGGGTTTCAGATTCCTAGGTAGTTTACGTAAAGTGTTTACGGAACACCAAAATGAAATAAACAAGGCGTGTGGTATGTCTTTCATATTAATACATGATAAAATATAAGATGCGGTTGTGATGAAAACACTTGAAAATGTATCATAATCCTCAGATTATTTTTGTGAAATAGATAGTCAGAGTTTGATAGTGACTTGTTCGACGACGACCAACCTAAATTTCTGACGTTATTTTGAGTAATCAATTGTTCTGATATTTACATAAGCACAATAAAACTAGTGGATTAAAATACCATATATACCAGTAATCAAATTCTATATGACACTGGAACCATTTTAATGTCTCAATGAGTTTAAGGAAGTAAATACACTTTATGGAAGCTCTTTGTCTGAAAACTACTGATACAGGTCAGGTCATCTCACTAGCCCATTTTAGTCAATCCCCTCATACATATCATTCTGGCAATCACACTTTATTCATGTAACTTTTTAAAAACCAATCTCCTCGAAAATTTATTCATTTATTTGGATGAACACACCCACAAAATGCAGTCTTTTGAACGCCTTAAATAACAATGAAAAAGTATTAGACATATGGCTCCGTCTAAATGCAAATATTGCTTCAGCGTCAACGCCTAGATTGATCATAAGGAGCGAAATAATCGAACACATTAGCCACGTTGCTTATTTCGGAGGTCTCATCAACCTTGGTTGGTGACTGACGAAATCTCGATACAGATTAGTACAGGAGAGTTGTCCGTTTAGCGAACAAAAGACAGGTATGCTGAGTAGCAGTCAGTGTTGTACCAGCGTTGTACAACAGCATACGAAGGTAGAAAACATGGGTAAACCACAAGTCATTGGTCATGCTGTGGAACAATCAAGTAAGCAATGCTGAGGACGGGTGTAGTGTATTATCTAAAAATTGTACACCGGTTGACGAAGTTGTGGATCTTTCTTTACTGAGGTGGTTGAAACATGATACCTAGGGTAATAGTATTTCTTTATATATATCTTCTTTTCACACAACATTCTCAATTTCAAATCTTCCCACTACAATTCATAATACTAACAATGAGACTTCTTTGATAGTCATTTTTTATTAATTTTACCTCGCAATGATTCAATATAGTTACCTAAGCTAACGGAAATTTGTGCTAGGCACTATGTTGATTAGTACTGACGAATTGACTCTTTGATTTTAACGTTTGTCACAAAAAATGTGAGCTTTATATCTATTACAAAGAGAGTGGGTAGTGTAGATCACTGGAAAGTTGAAAGGACTAGATCTTTAGAATACTTCTGAGTTTTTAAAGTTTCTCTTACTACGATTGATTAATGACGGAACACTACCTGACAATTTATAACATTTATAGCTAATTAGAATTTATTGAAAAAATGAATCAGTAATATGGAAAAATTCCTGGTATCAATAAACTTAGAGTTGATTCTTTGATATCTCCTGGTAATTAATGTATTGCTAGATGATGGAACTAAACTTGTTACTGGAAGATCATGAGATATATCCCAATAAACCACCAAAAGTTCATTTGTATTACGTACCTTTGCACAATTTTATTCTATCATTAGTTAAAGCTAACTTCCACTATTGAAAGTCAATAAATGATATCAAGTAGCAGAGTATGTAAGTTGTAGCAATAATAGGTAAATAAGTACAACAATTCACTTACGTCATACTCTTTTGTGGTGTTCTGATCTAAGCATCTACACTTTTAAACAATTTTTAGTTCAAGAAACATTCCACAATAGTGTGTTATGTTGGTTACGTAATAATGATAACCATAATTAAATGAGTCTTACAGATGGTACACTATAATACTGCTGTACGGTTACTATTTCCATGATAACCAAAGAGTCGGAGTCCCGGTTCTGTAACCTAGATACGCCGCCGGTGCAGCAGAATAAACTTCAGTCAGAATCACCAGTACTATTGTCAATTATGATGAAGAACATGTTTCTTTGAAACCCGCAAAGAAATAAACGAAGCAAAAAAGTACTAATAAACTCACCCATGAAACCTCGAGTCACCATACAAATCTGATAAACCGTTAGTTACGTAATGCCAGTGAGGAGGGCTTTGCAGTTCAGCTGATCCTGGATTTGCATACATATTGATAAAATCCAAAGGATCTGGTCCACCCATCCAGAACTTTCGAACAGCTGTTACTTGCAGTGGAGTAGGTTGATCAGGATACAACAGTCGACAAGCTGCATAAATAGCTTTTAAGCCTAAGGCATGCTCTTCTTTAGCAGATGGAACACTGCCTAAATTAGGAGCAGTCCCTGAACTTAAAACTGGTCCAAAAGCACTATTCGACATTTTTATTTGGTAATAATGAGTATTAGTACATTTTTCTTCTAAAATAGAAATAAGAAACCGGACCTGAGTTATATATATTCAACTAATTACACACAAACTTACAACCCTCTAGTTATCAAAGGCATCCTCTTTGAAACAAACATGTGCACATTGACATTTAATAAGACATAACCAAGTTTAGAGGGGGAAACCCTGAAAACATAGCGTTACGCAACTTAGTCGTGAATCAACTACACTTTAAAAGCTATTTGTACTACACAGCAGATCTGTACAAAGTATGTACAGAAAGATACGAAACTATAAACTAACTCATGAGTGCTTAAACTATTCAGCAACAATTCAACCTTAAATATATACCTATGTGTTGGAAACAAATCAACATTCAGGTTAAACTACGGATTTTGTGATACACACGTGATTTACTTAAATATTTAAACTTACTGAAATCATTCAACTCAAAAAAGCAACCATGGTGTATGCACAGGATCATGAGCAGTAACCCACTTCGTCGTAGTCGAGATACTGATATTATAAACAAAGATGGAATTTTTAAGGTGAATAGGAACTGAAGGTAATCAAGAAAATTGATACGAACACCTTATACATAAGACCAATCATGCAATGCAAAAATAAGCAAAAACTGTAGATTAAACTAAACAACAACATTCAGAAACATATAGTAGTCTTTCAAAATAGTCAAAACTGAGTCGAACACAAGTAGTCTGAAGGTCATAAGGGTTATTCCAAGTCCTTAAAGCCGGATAAAGGAGAAGGGTTGGGTATGTGCCTACCAAACCCACCTCACTAAATACAAAGTCGTTGGAAAAACGCTAACCAGACTCAACCAACTAACTCACACTCTCCACTAGTAGTTGAAGGATCTTGATATAGAAGAGTTATGAAGTTTCAGGGAAAATCCCGAGATTCTTTGAAGGCCATGGAAACGGTGCTCCTTCTGACAACCAGAATAACAATTAATATATGGACACGAAATGTCTGGACAATGTGAGAGGCTAAGAGGACCATTCAAATGGTGGCAGAAGTGAGAAGATACAACCTGACCTTCATTGGGATAGGTGATTCCCAACGAACACAATCGGAGCAAAATAAACCAACTCCAAGACAGATGTTATATTCTAAACATGAGGAAGAAAATACCCACACACACACATGAAATTGTTCTGACGCTGTCCAAAAAAGCATGAGAATCGCTGACTGGATTGATTGGAAACTCACGGCTCTAGGATCACCAAAGCATTTGTTGAACTAAAGAGGGGAAGGATTACGACGAATGTTGTCAAGTGCTACGCACCAACCAATAACAGTTTGGTGGCACGTTCAACGGACTTCGATTTCATAGAATGATGATGTCAACGAAATAAACACGCCGTCCACTCTCATTTATAATAGTCGATTTAATTCGCGTCAGGGAATAACGGAATAAAATAGGTCAAATACGAGGATGAATTTTGAAAACGTATATCTATCTCATAAACTCGTTGGTCGAGATAGACAATCAGAGGAATGAAGTGGGGTTTATGTGCTCTCAACATGGTCATAGGCGGCAGTATTTGACTCGCAAACGGACACATAAAGCTACATATGTTTCTCCTGAACACGTTACAGAAAACCAGATCGATCACATCTGCGTGAACAAAAAATTCGGAAGCTCAACCGAAGAAGTAGGGATAAAGAGAGAAGCTGATATAACTTTATATCACCACATGGTAATAGACAAGCTGGAACATAAGCCAAAGGTATATTGGACAAATGAGCAAGCAACACCGGAAAATTTTAATACAGCCATCCTTCAAAACGCTAACAAACTCAGTCAGTCCAACATAGATCTCAGCAACAAGTTCTAATTGTTACAAGACCTACTAGTAGAGAAAATCCCCACGGAGAGCAACTCGAAAAGGCTTAAACGAGCAATAACTTCGAAATTCCAGTGTGTTTCGGCCCCAATAGGCACCAGAATGAAGAACAAGTCACAGTAGATAGTTTGGCCATGATTCAAGGAAATAAAACAAGACAGCAGTCAGAATAAACCGACGAAAAGCAGGCACAGGCTGAATACACATAAGTAAACAAAAGAGTGAAGGTTGTTTTGGTTTTGAGAATCTGAGGCCAACATTAATGCTGTGAATAACACTTGATAACAACTGGGAAGAAGAGTTTAGAATGGAGCTTGTTAGAGACTCCTGAATGGTGCTACGGCAAGAGGGGTAACTGGTGTAATTATTTAGGTTCGGGTAGAATGAGCACTGAGAAAATATTGAAAACTAGAGCATATTGACTCAAAGAAAATAGGTAATTCGGTAGATTCTTAAGTTATCAATAAACTACAACTGATCATACTTAGACTAAGGCCAAATGTAACACGGTATTGTAATCGCTTGCGCAGTAGGCTTAAGTAAACATTAAATGCTAAATAATTTGGTTTATATTAAGACTGCAAAAGAGTGAATGAAGAATTTTAAATTTTTCTATTCAAATACTAAGGAATAAAAAGGCCCACAGTAGTTAGTAGACGAGAACCCGGCCCTGGCTGACATTAAGATGCATTTGAGGGCGGGCCTTATAAAAAAAAATCGGGAAACCGAGCTGCTTGATCTAAAAGTTCATCGTACCGTTTCGATTACAGGTTGCAGAATTGCTTAGGTTACTGTTTTAATCAGGCGGATTAACGTAAGCTGATGGATAATGTAAATTGCAATCGATACGCGTGCAATTATAGTATACATTGTATTAATCATGTGGCATCAGGTAAGTTGTAAACGACCTCAGTATTATTACTCTAGGTCAACTTACAGTACTTATATAATTCCTTTTGTTCTTTGTACAGTGAAAACTTCAACATCTGATCTCTATTTATCTTCGTTTATCAGTTAATTATTAGTTTATCACAAATAATTTTACATTTATCTGGTAAAGAATTAAGAGCTTTCAGGGTTATACCTACAATTCTAACCGTAACATAGAGCCACGGCAGAGAATCTCAAACAAGTGTATCAGTTCAAGATATCCCTTTTGAACCAAGGCTGTCAAAAAAACGTGTCAAATTAACAAGACAATCACTGATATAATCAAAAAGACGCTACACAGCATGAACAACCAAAACTGAAAAATTTAGAACAGAATCTGTACACAATTTAATTTATTTCAATATTAACAATTTTGTGCATTTTCAAGAAGTTTATACCAGGAAAAAAAAGAAAGAAACCGACAGTGAAATCATCCAATGAATAAATATTTGTTAGAAGATGCATGAGGAAAACAGATCCACAAAGCATAACTGCAAGACAAAATTATTGTCCAAAAACGCTCAGAATTCAAATGTCGGTCACGTGGGTAGGTATTTGTAGTCCGCCTATAAAGATGAGTATGTGCATATTACCAGCTCTAAATCGAAAGGCACTGTATAGTTGGTGGAGATATATGCGAAATTATTAATCCACATCTTCAAAACACATTTCCTCTGGTGAATTTACATCGGTACTCCCATTCAGTGCACAACGACCTAAGTCATCACTTGACACAGAATCTTCCATTTTGTCTCCATCATTAAACATTTGCATTATCCGTGAAAAAAAATTATTCATTTCATTTGCAGGAGGTTTAACACCGAAGTATAATTGGCCAATTTTATCCAAGTATTTTAAATAAGAAGAGTCTCTGTTCAGTTGGGGACTGTATTTTTCACATAGTACTGAAAATACAGCTAGACTGCACTTCTTTTCAATGGCTAACATCAAAAACCATAGGAAATTTAATAAAGGAAAATCCGCAAACGGTGGCCCAGGCTCTAAACGAGGGTGACGTCGTGTATATGTGTAAAACGTCAATATGGCAACTGAGATTTGCTTCATACATAAAAACTGAAGGACAGCTTGTGCAATAAATAAATCGATTTCTGATCGAAGCCCGTATCGCTGATGTAAAGCAACAAGGAAGACACCAGCCGCATAGCCATTAGAAGATAACATGATACGCAACCTTGCTTCACTGAAAGATCCTTCTTGCCACAATACACGAGCGAGATATCCATTGAACACAGCCAGAAGATCTTTTTGCTTCTGTAGAAGTTGAAGTGTCTTTTGGACAAACGTGTCCTTTCTTCACCAGGACACATTCGTATCAAAAGTTCACAAATTTCATCTAGATGAGATTCAGTCAAAACTGTTTCACTCTGGCTATACACTTCAAGTACAAGGCAAGCTAACTCAGTACCACTTTCCCACTGTTCATTATCAAGTAAAAACTCAGAACCTAGTTTCAAATATTTTAATGCTTCCTGATAATTTTTCCGCATAATACAACGGAAATGTATGGTTTTGTATAGTTGATGAGCCTCATAGAAACGTCGTTCGCTGACAGCCAACTTCAGTCGTTGATCTAACTTGGATAATTTTAGTTCAACCGTTGACATCTGAACAAAGTTTAATAGAGGAGTTATACCTGTTGATGAAAACACCAAAGAGAAATGCAAAATTAGGAAATTGTCGAGAAATATTCGAATAACATTTCAATGAAATGTATCAAAGGTCAACAGTATCTCAGCACATGAATACACATTTGTACTACGTACCTAACTACTTCGACTGAATTTGTCATAACATAATCTTTTAAAACGTGTCCAAAGTAGAACGAATACAAGCTTTTACATCAATTCAGTTCACAGAAAGAACTATTAGTAGATTTGGGGTAGAACAAAGTAGGAGAAATTATCTGTCGGTTAATTAATGAAATTTTAATAACAACCAACTACTCCGTTCTTTTAAAAAAACCGATTGCTGAATTACAATCGATTATAGCAACTAGGGTGTGTTACTAGAAGATAACACGATTACAAGTGTTAGCTTGGTGCTTGCACCAGGATAAAAGCAACTGTTGATGAGTGATCTTTTTGTCTGTGAAAAAAACTTATCTTGCATTGTATGATATCTATCCTTTAAATCTACCTACATACAGCCTAATAATGATTTGTTAAAACGTTTCAATATCTATTTTTATTGATTTGACCCGTTGGGAAATGAGGCGATATGATCGAATGTAATCGAGTGAAATAACGCATCATTAGTTATTGGATGTATAGTAGTCTAAGCAATGTGAATTTAATATTTTTACGCAGTCATATATATCATCAGCATTCGTCATTATTTTAGCTGTGAATTATTATCCAACCATTTGGTATTGATTCAGGCTTTTATTTTAAACAGAGTAAATGCAATTTCAGTCAGTCAGTTACAACGTAGGACCACGCACATACATGCACCGGTCCAAGAAGCAATTTAATAGCCAAGTACAACATTTAGTACCCGAAAATGGGCTACGATTCGAATGTGTCAAACAAAATTATTAACCTCCTCTTACCAAAGCAAAACTAAGTTCGGATATGTAAGTCGGTCAGTTACAACGTAGTAGCAGGCAAATATATGTCATACCTCATTAGCACATCAAATTCATAGAAGTAGTTACTTCAATGGTATTAATATATGGAAGAAAGATTGCATATAAGGATATAATACAAGAAGAAATAGTTAACTTGTAGAAATAAAGGCATAAAGTAATTTTAATCTCACTGTTTAAGGGAAGATGAAGAGTGTATACACCTACGCCATTGTGATCGGTTCTGAGCCATGTCATCCAGTCTCCAACCATTAAGTACGACAGTCGCATGGACCCTAACCAAGTAGTGTGCATCTACCAACACGGCTCAGACCAGAAAATAGTGACTTTATGGACTGATGCCACTTTTTGGTTTGACCTCTCCTAACTTTCTTCCATCCATCCCCAACACTAGTCAGCATTGTGCGCCGTGGCAGTCGGTGTTCAGGCATACGCAACACGTGGCCCAACCATCTCAGTTGATGTAGACTCACGACCTCATCAACCGAGTTACCATCATTCCCTAATACCCTGCATCTGAACCTCACTATTACTTACCCTGTGATCCCAGCAGATGTGAGCAATATCTCTAAGATATCTGTGATCAAATACTAGTAACTTAGTCAGTCAGTCATCAGTAACGTAGAACTTCGTACGTACGTACATCAGTTTGAGTTGCCATACCAGTCAGTCAGCTACAACGTAGGACCATGCACATATATGCATCGGTCCAAGTTGCCATACCACATTCGCACAGAGATACAATTGTCAATTCAAATCTCATTGTGGTACAGGTAGTAAGAGTATAAGTAGTAATCGGAAAGCTTAGGGTTTAAAGATGTTATTCAAGGAGTATAATCCAGTGAAACAAATTTGGGAAGATAAAAAAGGGACATGAAGAATTCAGAAGATCAGAAGTTGGGAGAACACAAAGAATGGATGCACCTGCGCCATTGCAAACAATTAACCTAAGAGTATCCTCTGCCCTTAATGGTCATGTTTCGCAGCCGTAAAGTAGAATAGAACGAACTGCCGCGCAGTATACTCGTCCCTTAATTGATAGACGGATATCTCACCTTCGCCATAGGTGACGTAGGTTAGCAAAAGCCACACGAGTCTTTTGAGTACGTGCAGAGATTTCGTCAGATACCAACCGATTAAAGATGACCAGACTTCCAAGATAAGTAAAGTCGTCGACGCGTCCGACTACTCTATTCCCTATCCTAAGTCCAGGTGTTGACGCAGACCAGTCTTGAAGCAACAAGTTGCATTTCGAGGAGGAAAAATGCATTTTAAACATCCTAGCATTGTTGCTCAGTGCTACCAAAAGACTTCATTTTATCAGCGTCTTCGCCAAATAGAACTATGACATTTGTGTATTCTAGGTCGATAAGTGGACCTACTGGAAGGGGATCTATGCCCGAAAATTCAGTCGACGAGAACGTTATTTCCATCAGTATGTCTATGAAGTTGAACAAAAATGGAGATAGTGAACAGCCTTGACGGACAACAATTGAGGTTGCAAAATCAGATGACAGTTCGCCATAAGCGTTGACTCGACTAGTAGTGTTCCAATAAAGAACCTTCACAAGGTTCATGTACTTTTGAGGTACACCTTTCAATGACAGACACTGCCACAGAACCTCTCGGTCTAGAGTTAATTGCTGCTATTAGGTCAAGAAAGACAACTATTGTTGGACTCCGATAAGAATGCCTGTGTTCTAGAACCTGACGAATGGTGAATATGTGGTCGATACAACTATGACCAGGTCTGAAGCCAGCCAATTTTCTCGTGTTTAAAGTTCACGAGTCTATTTTAGGCGTCCGATAATAATTGAAGCTAGTGTTTCAGATGCTATATTAATCAAACTAATCCCTCTGTGGTTGTCACGGATGATTTTGATCCTTTCTTTTTATTTGGACGATCAGTGATTCAGACCATTCAGATGGGATTACATTCGATCCCCAGATTTTAGCTAAAATATTAGTCAACCTAATCACTCAAACTGAACCACCATCCTTAAAGGCTTCTGAAGCCAATCCATACGGACCAGCTGCTCTTCCTCGTTTCAGATTAGCTATGTCTTTTCGAACTTCAATTAGGGTCAGAGGGTCTACTTCAATGTTCCATTCAGGCTGTTTGAGAATGGTGGGTAGTTGTAGTATTGCTGGAGGTCAGCTAAACTGTTCCTTAATGTGTTCCGCCCATTATTCTCAACATCTAGGTTCAATGTCGGCTTTTTCCGAGATCGTATCACTTACACTTGACTTTTTAATTCCAGTTTCTTTTATTAGTCTGAAAAGCAGTCTGATGTTACCTACAGCCGCTGCCCTTTCCATCTCTTGCTTTCGTTGCCCACCACTACTCACGTCGTTCCGTAGACTTTTGGTTTACCAAGATCTGATTTGTTTTCGCTCATCATGTTTGAAGCCTGATCGGATGGTATTTATTTATTATTTGAACACAAATATTCGTACAAGGAGGCACCGAATGCATATGCGCCACACAAGTTACTTGGTTTGTGTGTGCGCTGGGATACTGCCCGGGTACCCAAACCGAAGCAGGTGGTGTTCTTAGAGGGCCACACCCCGAGCCTTCGACCTAAAGGTCTGATCCACAAGGCAGTGGAGCAACTTCAGGAGATGCGGTCTCATGGTAGCCGGTGACCGATGATTGGTCTATATGCCATTTTATTCTCTCAGGATCCTGAAGCCAATGTGCAACATTGATTTGGAATCAAGGTTTTTCGACTCCCCTAGGTGAATCCTACGTGTCCACTAACCCGGTTTAAAACGCCAGACATTCGCTTTTCGTCCACTCAATTTTTCAAACAACGGTAATGCCGCGAGAAGGCAGTGAGTAGGACTTCCCTGGCACCTGCTGTATACGCACGGCCATGTGAGAGCTGACTCCACCCTCGGCCGTACCAGGGCGTTTGGGGGCAATAGACCTGGCAGAAATCCACTAGTTTTCCATGACCCTTTGGTTCATATCACTAATAGATGTCACTGCTGTTTCCACAGCTGTTCGTATATCTATCCAAACAACATCTGGGTCAGCCTCGTTTACAGAACTAAGTGTGAACTCAGTTGTTCCTGAAATCTACTTCTGGCTTTCTCGTCACTGAGTTCAACTCTGATGGGTCTTCTTAATGTGGCTTTTCTGAGTTCAGTGAGGTGCAAGCAACTGCATGCTAGTATTTGAGCATGATCAGAGTCTAAACATGTACTCTACAACGAGCGGCAGTATTCTATCGATCCTTTACAACGATGACAGATGGCAACCCGGTATAGTTGAGTCCATCATTGATTTGGTGCAGGGGGTCGCCATGTTAGACAATGTCTCTCCTTATGCTTAAAATTAGTGCTTGCTAAAACAAACGATTATCTGAGAACAATTGCAGCAGATGGTCACTACTATCTGTCCGCTGATCTGGAATACTAAAATACCTACCTAAATATCTTTCTGATTGGTTTAACCTACCTGCTTAAGTATTAAAGTCACCTGCGACTAGTACTATGTTTAAGTGTTTAGCTTTTTGAAGTTAAGAAAACTTTCTGTAAAATCCATCTTTCAGTTTATCCAGGCTGCAGTCAGCGGGAGCGTAGGCAGAAACAACGAAAAGGCAACGACGTGTGTCCCTATAATTCCGAGTTCTTACGGAGCCGTTAAGCCGAACAGCACATAGACAATTGTTAACAAGGATTCATTCCAAAAGTGCTTGTTCTGTCCTTGTACTTAGTGCCATGCCTACACCCTCCAGTCCACGAGAACTAGCCATCGGGTCGCCAGATAAATGGAGGGTGTGTCTCATCCGCTCCCCGTTTTGGCGAGGTGAGGTCAAGTGAATGACTACACTAGAATCCTGTATGTCTGTTACGGAGACAGCATACATCAATGGAACGAGACTCTAAAGTCTTAGCTAAGGAGGCCTGCTAATCGATTTGACAGAGTGTGTACATTGAAGGCCCCAATGTGCAGTTTGCAGCGAGGTTTCAGTGGACCTGAGACTGCTTTGCGCACTAGAATCGTTTGCCATGGTGACACTTGAGGAAGAAGTCAAAAGAGG